CGAGCAAATGTATCGATTATTTCAGACAAATTAGATTAATGAACTTTAAATAAAATCTCCAAATCTTACTGGGCTCATAGATACAGAGCAACGGACAGGGTTTGGATGCTTCGGCTAGTTTTCCTGTTAAATAATATTTATTCCATGGTCGGCTACGAGTCCTTTTTCCTGTTACGTGCTTTCAACAAAATCATTATACACTGATTTCTCTAAGTTGAAGCTATAATAAAAACTACAAATCCTTGCAATTTCTTGTTTCTTTTATATTAAACAAACAGTAGCAGAAAATGATTGGGTCAGATTGAAAATTCGAGCTCAGGTTATAATATTCTTGTTTAAATATGTATAACAGGCATAAAGAGAGGGAGCAACTTAATAAATAAAAAACGTACATTCGGGCTGCATAATGGGAATATAAATATTATATAAAAAGATTATGGCTTGCAAACCAAAAATATAAAAATTTATTTTTTATCCTTAGTAAGAAAGCTAACAATGGCTTAAGATTTATTATGTGATACCCTTTTGATGAGCTCACCGATTTTGTATATTTAAGATTTTGGATATCTTTTACAAAACCACTGAACTGAGTTATCGCAAATACTCATATAATTGTCCGACATTATTATGCTCAGAAAATTGCATTCTGAATTCGTATGCATTTTGTTATTTCCTTTGTATAATATACAATGCGCATACATTAGAATATAATAAGTGTAGAATGATTGGAATGTGATCATCGGATTCAGGCTATTTCCTAATCTGGCACTCCCAACTAGAGCAGTCTGGCATGTTTGTGAAAATATTATCAGAACAAGAAAGCTCTAGTCGGGCGTACCCGACTAGGTGGTGCCTTGAGTACCATCTGATCTGTGCTTCTAAATATTTTCCATTGCTTATTTCTAACACTAATAAAGAAAAAGAAGAAACACATTAGGACAACATGAGGACACCTGGATTCGAACAAGCATCAATGCCTCTGCCAACGAATCCACCTCACTGCTTGCAAATCTAAATTAATGTAGCGACTGATAATTCAAGCTTATTCAATTGCAATTTGGATTTTTGGAATAAAAAAGGAATATGAAACATTTAGCTTCATAACCTCTGGGCTACTTAATTGACTTAAATGAAATTTTCAGCATATGATCTACATATTCCATAAAATTAAAAACTATTTTTCATATTGGCTTATTTGCATCGGCACCTAATTTTAATATGTTTAGTCAAATTATGAGTTAGTAATATTAAATGGGGCATAGTTATCGATCATATATCGACATCTATACTATATCGGGATATATATAGGGATCTATAAAAATATCAAGTCTCTTGCGCTTTTAGGCTCTGAGATCGACGCGTTTATAAACACAGACAGGCAGATGAACAGGGCTAAATTGACGCAGCTTGTCCTGCGGATCATGAATATAAATTTTATGCGATCTGTCAAGCCTTCTTTTGCCTGTTATAGACGTTTTAGTAAAACTGTTACGACCAGCTTCCAATTTTTAATGGGTTCAGGATGCAAAAATATAAGCCGAAATTAAGTCAATCTGTTACTTAAAATATGGGAAACATGCCAAAAAACAAAGGCTTAATAATGACTTTAAGCGATTTTATAAATATGGAAATCGTTATCTGATAACAGTGATTCAATTTTTTCTTTTCCATAATCTTTTTTAGTAAATCAACAGCTGAAAAATCTTTAGTGTCTGTCCACATAAGCTAAATATCATGGATTTCACATGTATTTTAAGTTTAATTATATTTTATTTTTGTTTCATTTTTGTCCCATGTCTCATGTCTCTTGTCATGTCTTGCTTGTCTTCTATGTCCTGGCCGCAAATCGATAACAGTGACCTATAAAGGTAGGGGTTGGCATGCTGCACAGCAATGCAACTCCCGTATCCTGTCAACGAATTTTCTATCAATTTGTATTAAACTGTTTTTCTTTAAATCCATTACTATTTATTTAAATTATAATGAAAAATTTGGGACATTTAATAAAGTTCCATTGACTTTAACACTATTTACACGTTTGACTTTGAAGTGCTCTGCGTGTTACCTGTATTCATACAGCTCGAGCACATTTGCTAGCCCGTTTCGAATAGGAATTGGAGATAACAATAAATATGGTCAATAGAGTCCGGCATTTACATAGAACTGTAACACTTTTGTATACTTTCAGTCAGCCTAAAAGCCTATCGCTATCAAGCTAATTTGTTCTCGGGTTTATGTTTTTAACCGTGGAAGGCGTCAAAGTAAAGTGTGTTTAAGCGACCATCTTGTATGTTTTTCTTTTTCTTTTTATTTTTATGATTTTTGTTCTGCGCTGCGCCCCAAATTCAATACAATTCGACGTGGTAATCAAAAGATAAACGGCTGATAGATGCGCACTGGGAACTGAACCCCAATTTCGATTGAAGATAAGAGCTGGTGGTGGAATCTAGACAGATTGCTTTCGTTCTTGCTAATTTCGGGCACAGAACGAAATGCAGAAGGAATAACAATCAAATGAATTCGGAAAGGGAAAAACAACAGCAACAACCACTTCTATGCGAAACTGGAACTCAAAATTGACTCGTCGTTGATGCCGATGTCGTCAGCGTCAATATCAACAGCGAGTATACATACGCATACACTCACACTCTCACACACACACACACACGTAATCCTACACGAAAACGCAAAGTATATACAGATCTCTGTAGAAGACGCCGTCGCCGTCGCCGTCGCCGACGCGTCGTTGACTTGTTTCGCACATAAAGATACAAATGTATCTACAGCAGACAGCAAATGGCGTATATAAAATGATTGGGCATGTGTCTGTATTAGTCTGTCGGCTCGTGAGAGTGCTCTGGTGGTTGATTTTGTGTGCGTGTGTGTATGGGTGAGCGAGATGGAGAGCAGAAAGTGCGCGCCCCAGAAGGAGAGGGCAGCTGCATACGCGTTTTATTACCCATCGTTTGTTTCAACTGCTGCTTCTCTGGCTTTTCATCTTTTCACCGCTAGCCGGCAATGGTGGTGCCATGTGGTTGCTCTCAGCTTGCTGCGCTCGCAGCTCATGTTCATGTTCATGTTCATTCTCATTCTTATTTCCATTTTCATTTCGTTTTCGTACTCTATCTCTGTCCTTTGGCGTGCTAGCAAGCGTAAGTGTTGCGGCCGCTGCTTCTGCTGTGGGTTTATGACCTTTTTTTTGTCTAACTAAGCGACGCAACGCTGTCATCGTCATCCACATCCACATCCACATCGACATCGACATCGACATCCACATCCACTATATCACACACACATAGACAGCCTGCATGGGCCGCCCTGGCACAGGCAAGTGAAGCGTTCACTCTGGCTCTCAACCACCGCCAAGCGACACCTTTTCCCCTTCGCGGAACGCGTCCGTTCGTCTGTCTGTATCTGATTGCTCTGGCTGTTGATGTTGTGCTGTGGCTGTTTCTGTTGGTATTGCTGTTGCTGCTGTTACTGTTACTGTCGGCTCTGTCTTCCCGTATTCTCACTCTCATTTTACGTTTCTGTTGCTTTTTGCTTCGTTCTTGTCTCGACGCCGCTTCGTGCGCCGACTGCGCTTCCACAACCTTCGCCTTCGCCTCGGCATCGGCTGCGGCAGCCATTGACTGAACTGTCAAACTGAACAGCAAATATTATTTTTTGGACACTTTGCTCTCAGGTCGACGCCGCGTAAACCAGACGTCCTGCTCCATACACCATCCAACAATTGATATCTACTTAGGCAAGCGAGCTCCAAGAAGCAGACAAGAATGCTCGATAGCCAAATCGGGGTCGAGGCTTCCAATTTTCCTGAGGTGTCGCACTCGCAGTCAGACAGTAGAAGGCGAAGCCCGGAGCACGGCGCCCAAGCCCAGAGCCCAGCGCCCAGCGCCCAGAGCACAGAGCTCAGAGCCATGGCTGCCATTGTCTGCAGCAGCCACTCAAACGAAGTGTGACTCCAATTGTGAAAATAGAAAGACAAAAAACAAGAAACAATACAAGAAAATAAAAACGTGCTGTAAATCAACGCGAGCCGGTTTGTGTGCTGCCAAAATAACAGTATTAATTATAATTTTGACAAAGCAAGAGGAACGCTCTGCTCCAGCGCCTTTCGACCAACTGTGAATGCTCCCAAACATGCATATATTTAAATGTGGATTACAATTTCGCGTGTGAGTCCCGAGGCAAAGTAAAAGTTGACGTTAACAATACTTGTGGATCGGCTCAAAGCTGTGTGCCTTGTTTGTGTTTTCCTTTCCGTTTCTATAATGTTTGTGGCTTAGTTCGCGGTTGTTGCTCTTTGGCTGGTCTCCGGGACCATCCATATTCGGTTATTCTCCCAACTTGCATGTCCGTCCAGCGACTCGCGCTCGTCGGTTTCTCTGGTACGCTGGGCGTGGATTCAATTAAACTGATTTGTTGCCGCCATTTCTGACAATTCGGACGTTAATAGTGGATCTGATTTATTGTACAATGCTTCTCGTGTAAGTAACTACGAAAGCAACTGGGTCTGCAGACCCTTCAGGTGACTATATATCTACTTATGTAAAGGTGTGCGTTTCACCAAACTGAACAGTCTGTATAGTGCCACTAATACTGCTGAAATACAGCACAAAATGCATTCACGGTTGTAGAATAGCAAAGCACGTGAGCAGATGGACGGACGGACAGCACAGCACACATTTCGAGAGCGATTGTAGTAAGGCCCTTAAACAAGTACAAGCATACAATAACTTCTGAAATACTCTTAATTTTATTTGGTCGAAATAGCAACAAATAATTTCTGATATAAAAAAACAATCAGAAGAAGTAAAACAAATGTAAGCTTCTATAGATTATTGACAGATTGTCATTGATTATTATATCAAAATCAGGATGACTCAAATATATGTGATAAGTATGCATAGCCGTGATTCTAGCCGACTGTGTGCCAAGTGTGAGTCTGATTCATATATAAAACTTTCTTTCTTGTAAGTTAGTAACAAAAGCAAAAACAAATAAATTTGCCTTTCACACAAATATTTTCCAAATTCAGACAGTTTTAGCAACACTCTTCTCCGGGCACATATCTAACCAGGCATTAATAGTTTTGTGGTTTTCCAGAAATCCCCTTTAAATGTGATATATAAATAAATTATAACATATTTTTGCTGACTACGAAATTAGTGAATATTTGCATATATATTTATACCGTCGGCGATGGGCAAGGACAACAGATCTAACGATTAATATAACTTAAGTTAAGTGAAGGTGTTTCACAAAGGAAATCAAGTTAAAAACTTCGAACTCACAATTTCATAATTTATAAATTATTTGTATGTTGTGGCCAGTTCTTTCACTAACGTTACAGCCAGTTGAACTAGCTTAATATTTTGTATATACAGTTTGGAAATACAATTTTGAGATTTAAATAAAATATAGATTTAGCTCTTTTTTAATGTTGCCTATAATATCTTTCAAGATTTTGGCTAAATTAATAACCATGTTCTTTGTATTTATTTGTATTTACAGCTGGTCTATGAAGGACTCAACATCTTGTCAGGAAGGACAACCTGCATGTTGACCTCACCAATTAGTGACTTGGTAAGCTATTTTGAAAAATAATTAAACACTTTTAATTATAAATTATTATACGATTTGATATTCAGCCCTAAACTTGATATGAATGATTAGTCTGCTACTTTTTTATATACCCTAACAATATTCAATCTCAAACTTATGCCCAAAATGCTTATTCAAATGGGGAATTGATACACAAGCATTTTTACAGAGCAACATATGCTAACTGATAATGTTTGTGGGCGATCGCTTGCAAAAAGACAGAAGAGCAGACATCGAAGACACGCAGAGACTACTTTACATAGGAAGGCAATAAACCTTCAATGTGATGCAGGTAGCAAAGTGAGGAAAGGGTTGCTTTAGTTACATTTTGAATGATTTATGAGCGTGAAGCTGAGAAACGACCTTTCGCGATGCATTCAAGAGAACAAATGACGCAAAATGCGATCCCGGGCACAGCGTTTGCCTGTGGCATATATTTTTGCCTAATGACGGCTCAGGATTTCTTCGGGCCGGTGTGGTCCGGCGAAAGCGTGAAGACGGGTTCTTATATGGCCATATCGTAAAACACCCGCATCAGCAGCTCTGGTTCAAAATATTTTGATTTAGACAAAGGCTGAGCCAAAACCACAGAAAACACGCAGCTGGAGATCGAGTTTGGACGTGGAAAAAGGATTCGAGAAATGCAAAAATCCAACTCCAAATGGAAATGAAAATGAAAAAGCAACTGTTAGGTGCGAGCAGGAAGAGATGGCGATTGACACGCTCTCACACAGTGGACACCCATTGAATGTAAAAGAAGCAAAACAGAATTAATGGCGTGTAGAACATCATGTCACTGTCATGCTTTAATTCCGATCTGCCTCCAAGACAAGTGGCAGCTCTTTACATATTACTTTCTGTTCGGCAACCACCGGCAATCAGTTCGAATGAGAGTGCGGCATAAGAAATGTTTGAGTATTTGCATAACTTAATATTCACGCATATATTGAAGTACTGAGACGCCGTGCAGGGTGAGTTAGGGTGACAGAACAGACCCAAGATAAGCAGCGTAGGCAGAAGCTCAGCATTTCTTGGGGCGTGTCGCATATGCCCCTGCTTCGGCAGCCAGATGAATCGCCTCAAATGGCAGAAAGACGCAATGAAATTATGAGCAGACTGAAATGCCATGCAGGCAAAGTTATCGTGACCCTGGCAGTCAAAGCCATCCTAATGCGCGGCATAGGCATAGGCATACGTTAAAACTCCTCCTTAAAAGTCGTGCCTAGTACTCAAACTTGTGCCGAGGCGTAGGTATCAGTTGGCTTGGAATAATGTAATTTATTCTGACACTTTCATAAAAAGAATCCTAACTCTTGGCAACAAAGCAAGACATTATCGCCGCATAATTAATGCCACATGTTGCAACTCAGCGCGGAGTGTTGAAAGGGGCCAGGGGGAAAGGGCGCGGCCGCTCGCAGTGCACCGCGACATAAAAATATCCAGACATCTCGATCTGAAGTTACTGTCGCCGTCGTTGCTGGCGGCACCAAGAAAAATCATAAAGCCATTCGGATTTTAATTGCCTTGCTAGAGCGGCGGCCCCAAGAGTCATTTCCATATTGAGCGCTTTTCATTTGAATACATTTATAAAAATGTTAATCAGCGACGGGAAAACCCACTGGAACCAACCCAGCGCAGCCCAGCGCAGCCCAGCCCAGCCCAGACCAGCCCAACCCAACCCACTTAGCTGCCCCACTCTATTCTAACTTCATTTTATTCACATGCTCTTTAATTTCCATCCCGCTGGCCGTTTGCCGCGCGACTTCCATGCTGTCCGCTGTCGCGTCGCTGCTGCTGTCGCTGTCGCTGTCGCTGTCTTTCCCTCTTTGCTTTGTCTTCCATATTCGCCGGCAAGGCGCATGCGTCGCTCTGGCTATGTGGCAGAGGCCATTAAAAAATGGGCGGAGCTAAGGTCGCCATAGTCAAGGGTTCAACGCACATTCGGCGTGGTAAATTTCGGTTTTCTCGACCTCAAAGACTCGTCCGCTGAATAATGGTGAATATGGAACGTGCTGGACATATGCACATACATTGATAGATAAGCATAAATACGTACTCTGATATGTACCTGTGCTGTAGTTTTTTTCACAGAATACAAAATATATGGATACACTCTGAATGTGGCGTATACCCTGTAAATTTGTACAAATGAAGCATCCAATTCTAACAGCGGTTGAGGGAAAATACCATATTGCTATATTCAAGTATTACAATATTTTATATCTCTTATCATATTGCAATTATTCAAATATGAGATATATACACATATAAGTCTGTATGAAAGCATTTCAGATGGTCGAGTCACAGCCAGAGTCAAGAGTTTGAATCGATCAGCTAAAAGATAGACGTTGAAATATTTTATTATATTTTTAAATATTGAGTTCTTGCCTAAAAGTCAAAATCAATTAGTAAAACTTGAAATTAAGAAGTGTTAAAGTCGGCTAATTATATTTTGGTAAAGTATGAGATGCAATTATCTTTATCTTGATTATTTATAATAAATTAACCGGTCAGATCAGATGTAATGCAACGTTTTTCTAAAGCGTTAATTACATGTATCATAAGTTATTTTTAAATATTTTCTCCATTCTCAGACAAAATATAATTCTGAGAGTCCAATGTAGTCTATCGTAATAGTTGTAGCAAGTTTGTCTTTTGACGACTTGCTGGTTTCTGTATTGCGTATGAAGTATTTTTGCTAGATATCTCTTAAAACAATAACTGCAAAATATTCCTAAAGTGTCAGATAATTAGAACACATAGATATATATTCAATTTATGTTGAGATCTGTTATATTCAAAGTTATCTGGATAGGGGAATTAATTGAGGGTTACAAGTATCTAGAACTAACAGCTCAACAGCACACAACAAGCTGTTTTCTATCTTATTTAATAACGCTTCGTTTCTATAACAACCTGATTTTATTTTTGTTTTATATATTAACAGTCGTTTTGCTAATTTTCTTAATACTTGTGTTGTGGACTGTCGCTTAATTTACATTCCAATTAGTTTTTTTGAACGCATTTTTTTTACATAAAATTTTCTCATAAAATGAGTTAGAGTGAGTAATTCGAGTGTCCAAGACTAAAACCCTGACTAATAGAATAATAGAAATAGATTACTTTTATATACTATAGAATGCAACTACTCTAGTTTAAAGCAATAATTAGAAAACGAAATAATAATAAAATAGTAAAATGATAAATAAAATATGAACAATTAGTTGGTTACTTGAGTCCAGTCACCATACAATCGTGCTTAGCTAGAGCGGCTCAACTCATTGTTCACGGTCGGGAATGGGTTAACAAATTGGAGTAAAAATTTTAAATTTCCACAAATCAGTTATTGATTCATCCCAATAACAATAATGATTTATTAATAATTATATAAAGAGGGCATGTCAAATAGATACAAAACAGTTTTGCAAGGTTTTGGAGCTGACAGTTTAGTTGCAACCGACTTCTTTCTACTACTTAACACAAAGAGGTTCGACTGTATTTGGACCGAGAATGACTGTATTGAACGTCGGCTTCCTTTTTTTGAGTTTCACACATTTTAGTTGTAGGAATACACGCGCTTAAATTGATTTTGGATTTTCTGTGCGAAACTATATAAAATATTTGAAAGCTTTCCATTTAAATATTTTTAACAATTTATTTTTTTAATAAATGCCATACGAGCCCCAACCACTATTAATTCGAACAGCATGTTTTTTTTGCAGTGCGCAATGTTTAACACACTATATTATCAATACTACTAAAGATAACACATACCAATGCATTTCGTCTCAAAGAGAATTTTATTCTCTTCACGACGAAAAAAAAAGTTTTGCTCTATTTCCAACAACAACAAAAATATGAGTAATTTATTCAAACGGTTTGCTTAAGAGATAAGAAAAAAGTGACCACTATTAATTCGAACGCGGCGTAATGTGATTTACTATCATACTTAAAACAATAATTTAATTAATATTAGAATTGTGTAACGTCGCCCTTGGCCTGCATTACGCATTTAACTCGTTTTGGCATTGAGCTTAACAAATTTTTGCAATGCTCTTGAGAAATTGAGTCCCACATCTCTTGCAACTTGATTTTCAAGTCAGAAATATTCCTTTGTGGCTCATTTCGAAGCTGGTTTTTCATTAGCCACCAAATATTTTCAATTGGGCTTAGATCTGGACTATTTGATGGCCAATCTAAAACCTCCATTTGATTATATTGCAGCCAATTTTTGGTTCGCTTGGCTGTGTGCGATGATGCTCCGTCCTGCTGAAAAGTGAATTCACCGCAATCTGATAGTTTTGGTATTGATGGCAACAAACTATCTTGTAAAATATTAATATATTTTTCAGCATTAACTGTCCCTTCAATGAAATGAAGTTTTCCTAATCCTTTGGCAGACATACATCCCCATACCATAGTGCTCGCAGGAAACTTTGTTGTTCTTTTAAGGCAGTCTTTATGGTATGTTTCTGACCTCTTACGGATGACGCGTTTTCTCGTATCGCCGACACTAACATCAAATTTAGCTTCATCGCTGAATATGATGGTATCCCATTGCCTTTGAGTCCAAGACATCCTTTCCCGAGCCCATTGCAAACGCTTCTTTTTTTGACGAAGCGTAAGCAAGGGTTTTTCCTTGGCCTACGAGTAAGATTACGAGTAAGTTATTGGGTACGATGCACAGGTAATAACAAAACATACTTTATAAAAACCATATCCAATACTTTTTAATTGCTGTCGCGTCCACTCTCGCTTGACAGTTTTGCCAATTGTCTGCGACCACTTAGAAGCCAAATTTCTCAAAGATTGGCGACGATCAGCCTTAACAATTTTGGCCAGTTGTCTTTTGTCGCGGGGTGTTATTGCTGATGTTCGGCCTCTATTCGCAATGTTATTTTCAATATTCCCATTTTTTTTGAAAATTTGTATCACCCCATGCACAGACGACTTAGGCAAATTTAATTGCTTGCTTATCTCCG